TTTTTTTTGCTAAGTGAAATGATAATAAAATATTGCTGTAAACAATTAATAGTCTAATATGAATGTTTATTAATAAAATTAAAATGTTTAAATGATTTGTTTACTGATTCGTTTTTTGTTTTTGTCTTTGTTTTCAAATTATTTTACTAAGTGAAATGATAATAAATTGTTAAATAAAATAAAAATAAAATATCACTGTAAACAGTTAATAATCTAATTAATTAAATAATGAATGCTAATTAATAAAATTAAAATGTTTAAATGATAACAATATTGCTTTTTTTAATTTTTAAAAAGTTATTAATTAAGATAAAATATAAATTTTACCATTGTAATAATAATGAAACGAAATTTTCCTTCTACTTTACCAAGTTCAAAAATTTTACAAAAATGTGAACTTTTCAATATTTCAGCACCACGTAAGACAAGACAATCCATTAAAAGAACCTCAAAAAAAGAAAGCAATTAAATTCAATTATTTTAAATAATTTACTTTACATTAAAAGTTAGCATTATTGATTTCTTTTTGTACTTTTTAAATATAAGTTATTACTTTTGTTAAAAGATTTTACTTACCTTACGTGAATGTCCGTATGATTCTAATTTAGCAGCGTACATTTTATTATCAATTGATGATTGTACTTGAAAGACAGCGCCAAAGCCACCTTTACCAAGAAGTTTGATCACCTGTTTATGCAGTATAAAATATGGCTATAAAAATTTGTTTCACAAAATAAAAATTAAGTAAAAGTAAAATTTTTACGAGTAAAAAGTTTTTTTTTTTTGAAAGTTAAAAAATTTTGAAACAATTCTTTTAACAGTTAAAAATATTTTAATTATGATTTTCTATGTTTACAAATAATAATTTTATTTATTTATATAACACAAATATTAGCTGATAATTTATGATATTCACTGATAGTAATTTAATATTATTATTTTATCTTTTAAATTATTTATTTCTAATTTGCAATTGCTAAACAATTATTTAATTTTCTAATTTCAATAAACTGTGATAAAAATAAATAAGTTAATGATTAACCTGATAATTAGCAATTTTTCCTTGAAAACTTGAACCTTCTTTTGGAAAATCTTTTAGTGATAATGGTTGTTTACGATCATGATAAGCTAGCAACATTGAATGATAACAAAAAATTCGTTTGATAAGGTTTGACCGTCCGCCCGCTTCAAATGACAATAATGAGAATAGTGAAATTAAGTAATTCATTTTTCTTTTTTTACTTTTATTTTCAACGCTTTCTCTTTTACATTTATATTTACGTATGCAATTGTTATCACGCAAACGTGTACTCGAATTTTACGCTTAACTTTTTATCAGTACAATATCATCTCAAAATTGATTATCATCGAAACTAATTAACTTATATATTTGTCTCTCGTTTCTTATCACTTGTTACTATAACCAAGTGATAACTTAGCTATCAGTTGATTTCGATTTAATTTTTCGATTTATTTCTTTTCCTAATTTCGATTTAATATTATTTTTCTAATATTATTTCCTTACTTACTCTCAATCATCTCTTTTTTATACTGATAATCTTTGTAACTTCTAGCATTTTCTTGAAATTATCAGTAGAGCTATGGAAGTCATCACTGTTTTCCTAATGATAAAAATGATTTAAGTAAACAAATAACTGAAATTAAATTTGAAATAGAGAAAAAAGTAAATAATTATTTAAATTTTGTATAAAAATGCAGAATTCAGAAATAACTAATATAATTATTTGAAAGCGATTACATTTGAAATTCCAAATTCTCCAATTTATGTTACTTAATTATTCAGTTAACTATTAATTATCCAATTCTAAAATTAATATCAAAAAGAAAATTTTCATTTTTTTCTTGCAAAATATAAAATCAATCTTTAAATCAAAATTTTTAAAACATTTTTTTTAAACAAAAAAAGGAAAAAAAATGATAAAAATAAAAAAAAAATAAAAAACTGAAATGAATCAAAATGCAATTTAAATTTTAACATTTCCATTTCAAATTTCAAGAAAAAAAATTAAAATTAGTTACGGCAAAAGAAAAAGCTCAAAAAAAAATTGATATTAAATGAGAAAACAAGTTTTGAAGTACCATTTTTTTAAATAAATAAAAATCAATTCATGATGAATTATTTTTTGTATAAATATTTTTTTAATAAAGTATACTTACCATCGTTTCCTCTTTTGAACAATTATTATTATTATCATTTTTTTTTTCCAGCTGATAAATATTAATTTTTGAATTTAAAATATTTAAATATATTTTTTAAAGTGAAAATAAAAGTGTTATCGTCAAACTTCGCCCTTTTTTTGATTTTTTTTGATATTTCAAATTTATAAATTTAACAAATGTTTTTGTAATATTTTTTTAATTTCTTTGTTTTGCTAAAAGTTATGATAAAATTAAAAAAAAGATAACTGCACTGATAACTATTAGTAATACTAAAGTTTTTTTTTTATTTTTTTTATAAAAATTATGGCACCAATTTTAATTAAAAATTAAGCATAGAATTCAAAAAAAAAAAAATTGATAAATTAAATGTTTGATTTTATCAAATGTCAATGAATTTTTTTTTAAATTATTGATTTTTAAATTATTGAACTAAAAAGTGCTATATATATATATATATGAAATTAAATGCATTGAATTAAAATTAATCATACATTATGTTTATGTTTTTTAAATATTAATTGAAGTGTTTTTAAATTTAATTAAACTAATTTTCTTAATATTTATTTTATGAAATTATTGAAATTTTATTTCAGACAAAGTTTGAAATTAAGTCCAAAAAAAAGTGCAAAAATTAATGAAATATTATTAAAAGCTTATTAAAAGCTTATGAATGATTCAAGAAACGAAACAAAAAACATTTCTGATTTCCGTTTAGCGAAAGAAAAAAGGAACATTAATACGGCTTCCGGAATTTATCGGATACTATTTCGAAGCACTAAACCGGTTATGATCATAGGATTAGCCTAACAACAACGATAATAATATGTTTAATTTTTTTGATAATTTATTTTTTTTTTTGAAATTGAAATAAATTTAAAAATTTATAAAATAAAACTATCAAAATTTATCAAATTAATTAGTAATATAAAATAAATGTAAGTGAAAAATTTTAATAATTTTGTATACCTCAGTACTTTTTTAATTTTTTTTAAAAAATTTTTTTTTCATTTAAAATTTTCTTCATTTCTCTTTAATGCTAATTAAAATATTAAAATTTGCAATTAGCAATTAAATTTTTAGCAAAAAAAACCAAATTTTTTTAAATAATTTTTTTTTTTAATCAATTTTTTTAATTCAATAAATTTTTATTTTACTTCATTTTCACATCTATTTTATAAATTTATACAAGTTTTTGACCTTGTAATGGAACAGATTAGCGATTTAAATATTTTATGCGCAAATGTAATCCTTTATAATAAATAATGTTAGATGACAATTAAAATGGAAAAAAAAAGTTTAACTATTTTAATTTTATAAAATGACAAAATTTTTCTCAACAAATATTTATTTCTTTATTTTCTTTTTCTTTTAAATTAATCTAATTTTTTGCATTTGCTTATTTAAATTAAAAAATTTTATCATTCATTTATAAAATATACTTATAAATAAAAAAATCAAAAAAAAATTTAAATTAAAAAAACTAATTAAAGAAAAAAAAAAACTTTCAGAAATACGATGTAAATCTAACGTTCACTGATAAATTGCTATCCCGCATAATCATACTTTAATTGATAACACAGTTATAGTCTTATCATTATTATCATAACCAGTAGTGATAAACAATATGGTTATCATTATAATATGTTCTGATAAGCAAATTATCATGTTATTTTATATCGTTATCACTATAATGCCAACAATTACTGTATAATATCTAATTTTTTATCAATAATATTTTATTTAACACAATTAATAAACAAGCAATATGTTTAGTTAATAGAATTTAAAATATTAATTCATAATTTAATTAAGGATTTAAATTTGCATAATTCATGATAAATTTATGCATTATACTTTTTTTATAAATTTTTGTTTACTACGTTAAAAAAAAAATTCTTCACGCATTCTTTACGCATATGATTATAAATTTCAAATTTAGTATATTATATAAAATATCAAATGCAAATTTAATAATTAACGCCTTATTTTAAATTAATTTTTTATTTAAAATTTAAAAACTCTTTCCTATATTTCACATTTTAGTTTACTCATTAACAAAACTTTCAACTTTCATGCCATTGCATGCATGCAAGTATTGCTGCATGAAACCAAATATAATTAATTAGTTATTAGTTCAAAGATACCGTAGTAATTAATTTTAGGATAATTTTTTTTTTTTGTTTATCAGTTTGTGATTAATACTTAGAAAGTTATTTTTACCTGAAATATCACGATAAGATCACATTTTTTATCATTAATTACGTAAAAAATAAAAAAACTAACTACATTGTAAAGCTGCTAGAAATTGAAACTTATTTCAACAATAATTATATGTCAACGTTAGCAAAATATAATCAGCGTGTTTCACGTAAGCAAGATGTCACGTGAATTACTGTCCTTTATATAAAATAAAATGCTACTTTCAATAGTTTATAATTTGTTGAAATTTCACAAAATAATTATATGACGTAAGTGAGATATTTAACATTTTATCCAAATTCACTATTTGTAAGTTTTGCAATTTTTGAAATTATTTTAATTGAACACAATTTGAAAAAATGTATTATGCAGAATACAATGATTTTACTTCGATCACAGATCAGAGATTTTATAAATATTTCTAGAAATTTCCTTTTCAAAATTTTCTAGAAATTTCATTTTCAACAAAAAAAAAAAAAAGTACCCATTTTTTACATCAATTTTGAATGTTCAATGATATACAAAGTATTAATGTCATATTTACAAATATGCAATTACCTACTTACTTACTTACTTAATTAATCAGTTAATCATAATATTTACATAAATAAAAAAACAGATCACAAATCAAAGCATTCATAACAATGCCTTCCTTTCCAACTCAAACATTCCATACATCGATCATATAATGGCTGAAAGAAGTAAAATTTATTTCTCAAATTAAAATTGTAAAAAAAAAAAAGAATTCATTAAATTTTTTTTAAAATAAAAAAACAAAAAATGAGAGTAATAAATAAAATATTCTAAAGAAAAAGATAGAAAATTAAAAAGTTCATTCTAATTCATTTTTTTTTTCTCGAAAATTTATAAATTAATCATATGAAAATTAAAATAAAAAAAAGAATTAAACAAACCCTTCCTTTTGCTAAATCACAAAACCAATGACATTCATGTATCCAATCTTTACAAATTGTACGAAAGCATCGTTTTATCATTAAATCAAGCTATAAAAAAAAAATATGAAAAAAAATTCAAATTCAAAGTTTTTTTTCGAACTTTTTGCAACCTTTATTGAAAAAAGGTCAAAGGTTAATTTGAGAGTTGAAAGTAAGCAAATTAATAAGTTAAATTAATAATATAATATTGCTTTTTTTGTACTACATAAAATTACATAAAAATATGCTTCATTTTTAATAAAATTATATAAATGAAACTTTTTTCAAAAAAAAAAAAAAAAAAAAAACGAAAGGCGAAATAGTAATAAAAAGTTAAATTAAGCATAACAAAATTTTCATTTGTTGCCATATATGCGCATTTGTCCGTGTAACATGTATAAATAGACGATATATTGATTAATGTCCTTCAAAAAATTCTTTATACTTCAAAATTTTCAAAAAAAAAAAAAAAAAAAAAATTTCAAAAAAAATGAAAATTAAATTGGATAATATAAAGGTGAAATAGCGATTTACAAATTATGATAACACACTGATAATTTTTGTCACTTTTTTCCTTTCTTATTTTTTTTAAAAAAATATAAAATGAAACGTCACGTGAAAACGAATTTAAATCTTTCACGGAGAGTTCCGTGAAAGATTTGAATTTGAACAAATTAAATAAACATTATTTGTTAAATAATGTATGCATTAATTCAAATTTAAATTTTATATGTTACAAAAATTATTTTTTGAAGGTTAAAAATTTAAATTATTTCATGCGATGATTATCATCTTAAATGTGCCAAAAAAAAAATTTTAATTAATTAATTTACAATATTTATTGTTTTTTTTTTTTTTGAAAAAAGATATTTCGTTATTTTTTCTTTTTATAAAGCATTCATTATCAGATGATAAATATTAGTTTATCTTAGATATAATAATATTTCTTTTTTAACATTTTTTTTAAAATATTTGTTATCAAATAATAGATATTAAATTATGTTCTTATCACAATAAAATTTCTCTTTTCTTATCAGTTGTAATATAATTTGGCATTTTTTTAAAAGTATTTGTTATCAAATGATAAAATATTAGTTTATGCTAATATCAGATATAATAACATTTGAGTAAAAAAAAGAAGAAAAATAAAAACAGCTTATCAACTAAAGAATAAATAATAATTACATATAAAAATGATAACACAGTGATAATACATACCTGATGATAAGATTTTTGTCGTGGCATTGAATATGAACTGATAACAGAATTAATTGCAATTAGTGCAATTAGAAAACTATACGATCGACCGTCTATAACGTTATTCATCATAACCGATGACACACACAGAGAGAGAATGATAATGATATTTACTGATAAAGTGATCTGATTAACCTTTCAACAATTTTCTTCTTACCACTTATCAGTAAATAATCTTTAGGAATGAATAGAATAGTGATAGAGAAAGAGACAAAGATGATAACTGCTGATAATAAATGAAATGATTGGTTTATTTTATTGGAATAGTTTACTCCGATTTAACCTCCTTTTTACACTTCAAATCATATCAACCTGAAATGAAAAGAGAAGAAGAAAATATGTAATTGAAATTATAACTTAAAATTAATATTATACTTTTATTAAAGTTAAATATAAAAAATGTTTAAATGAAAAATATTATAATATTTTAGTAATATATATATACATATTAATTGTAAAATTCATTTAAAATGTAATTCTAGGAACACAATAATACAGCAATTTTAATTAAGTATTAGTGCTAACATAACTTTAGTTAATTATTTTATTTATTTAAAATATAATACAATAGAAACTGAGAATTGAAAACATTAGTCAATCGAAATGATAAAATTTGATAATGAATGATAAATGATATACTTTTTAAAATTTGAGTAATATATTTCTGTTTCTGGACGATGATATTGTCATTTACATTTAAACTTGTTTGTTCATTATATATTTTGCATGAAAATTATTTAAGAAATGAAAAAAATAAAAAAAAAATTTATGAAAAATTTTGGATAAATTTTTTTAAAAAAAAATTCTTTTCATGCTTGATTTCATGCATTTTAATTGTAGAAAATGGAAATATATTTTATTTTTATTAAATATTTAAAAACTTTTTATCATTCACTGCTATTTCAATAACTCATAAATGATTTTAATTAAAAATTAATATGATAATAATAGTGATAATAACAATAACATCTAAAAATAGTAATAATAATAAACGATAAAGTAGTAATAACAAAAAATAATAACAACAAAGTAATGATAGTAATAGTAAATAACAATAGTAATAATAGAGCATTTGGCGCTATTTTACTCTACAATTGGCGCATTATGTTATTTAAAATAAAATTTTTTAAAAATGATTGAAAAGATGCAAAACTATATTTTCTATTATCTAATTTATAAATAAATAAAATAAAATAAATAATAGATAAAAAAACTAAATAAATAAACCAATTGCATAAATTATTTGACAGTCAAATTTATGTTGCCCAATGTCAAATGGAAATTATGACTAAACTATTAATATAAATTTTTTTAAAAAAAAAATTAAAAATTTTTTAATTTTATTTTGCAAATGAAAATTTAACAGAAATTATTTGGACAAAAAGAAAGAAAAAATTCATGCAGTTGATATTTGTTCTAATTTCACCCTAATTTTTGCTAATTTTTATATCATTTTACTTTTAAGTTTTGCTAATTTTATAGCATTTTATACTGTAACATTTTTTATAGCTAAAAAAATAAATGAAAATAATTTTTTTTTTCAAATGGAAAACAATAATATTTAAAAAAATAAATTTCTTATCGAATACAAAAGAATAATGTTTAAACAAATTTGTTTGTTGAAATTAACAAAAAATTTTCAAATGTAAGTTTGATAGTATTAAATTTATTTGAATTATAATAAAAAATAAATTCGAATTACGAATTATAATTTAAAATAAACTGGTGAGCAATATGTTTGAATTAGCTAATTAAAACTAATAATAGTTAAATAAAATATGCTTTTATTAGTTAATAATCAAAATGTCATCGTACATTCATAATGTAACGAAATGTTAAAATGTTTTTTTCTTTTTTTGTTACCACTTACTATTTCAGTCAATCATTAGTGAAATTTATTGTATGGAAAGGATTAACAATTTAATTTATTTCATTTTATTTTATAAAAGCAAAAAAAAAAAAAAAAAAAAAAACCAGTTTATAATTCTTTTCATTACGTAAATAATAAAAAGAAAAAGTAAAATTAAAAAAAAAAAAAGAAAAACTTCCAATTCATTCAATTTTTAACCAACAATAAGAATTCAAATGATATATAAATGAAAATTTTGACAAAAATCAATCAAACTTATCTGATAGCAATGAAATTAGCTTTAAATATTATTTTTAATTTTTATTTTTTACTAATAAATTTTAATTTCTACTAAATAATATCGGTGATTTCAAAAATTTGTCAAAACAATCAGTCAACATTTCATATCTAATTTACTTTTGATTTTTTTTTTTTTTTCATTTAACTAATTTTTTTCTTTGATTAAACAAATTTACATTTAGAAAAAAGGAAACAAAAATAAATAAATAAATAAACAAAATCAAAAAAAAAGAAAAGAAAATTATTTTTAGCAACAGTATTTGAGAGTAAAAATTGAAATCATTTTGAAAATGTGTAAAAGAAGAATGGATGAAATGTACATAACCTAAATATGGTTCAATAATTTCTATTCATCCATTCATCATTTATGCTAAATTTATTCCATCATTGCCTCATTTACGTAAAATATTCATTTAAACTTAGTTTTTATTAATTTTTAAAAAAAGCAAAAAAAAAAAAAAAAACAAAAAAAAAAGCGTCAACAGATGATTAAATTATTAATAAAAAATATTGCAGTAGTCACAGATAAAAAAAATAGTTTAATTTTATTAATAGTTTTTGCCATGAACTTTGACCTTGCTTTAGAATGTTAACAAAGAAAATAATATCAATGTAAAATTAGGAAAGTGAAAAGATTTTTTCATTTCTTTTTCTCCATTTACTTTTTAAAATTTCATATTTTTATTGCACTTTGAAGTAATATGCGATGTGATAACAGAATTTTGATATCAATATAGTAAAAATTTAAAATAAACAAAAAAGAAAAAATTGAAATTTATTTGTAAATAAATATTTAAATAAGTATTTAATTCTTTTTTAATTTACGAAGAATTATGAAAAAAAATTCTTTCACATATGTGAAATATTTTTGTTTATTATGCAGTTTTAATGCATCATTCACCATATCAAAATAACAAATAATAGAAAGGATAAAATTTTAAAAAAATTTAATTGAAAAAAAATTAAAATTTATAAAACTTTAAAAATTATTAGAAAGTAAAGAGAGTGAGGGTTCCTTCTTCAATTTCATCTCATTTCTGTCCTCGTTTACCTTTTCAAATCATCATCACATAGCTATTATAAATGATGTTAATGCCCTCTTATTACACCTTTACTTACCTGTCTAACGCCCATTTTTCATTTTAGCCAATTTTGATGAGAGAGCCAAGTTGAGTAAATGGTTCCAAGGTAAGATGAATTAATCGTTGAGGTACAATCGATTAAGTCTTAAGTGCACTTTAACTGAAATAAATATTCAATTAGCAATACTTTAAGTAATTTAAAATAATAGCAAAAAGAAAAAGTTTCTTATTTGAATAAAATGTAAGTACTTTTATAGTTATAAAAAATAAAAATTTAGCAGAAATATCAAAAAAAATATATAATACGATGATAAGTAGAAAAAAAAAATTGGATTAAATTTTAAAATTAAAAAATCTTTTTTTTGATTACTCAAAAATATTTTTATTTTAATGCTCAGTTAATTTTTCTTTTTTTTAACATTTGTTTCCTGCATTTATCTGCTTTATCAATCTTCTTTTGTTGTCGTTCTTTTAATTGCAAATTTTGAATTTGATTAATAAACAAAATTAAATATTATTAAGAATGATTAATACTTTTTGCTAACTGATCAACACTTTTTGAATGATCAATACTTTTTGCTAACTGATCAACACTTTTTGAATGATCAATACTTTTTGCTAACTGATCAACACTTTTTGAATGATCAATACTTTTGCTTCGAAATACCAAAATTTCTTCCATCGTTCTATTATTCTTTTTTCTTTAATATTTTTTTTTTTTAGGAAATCTAGAAAAAAAAGTATAAAATTTGAATAATCTTCGAGTAATACATCTGCTGAAATTTTCATAAATTGAGATTATTTAATGGAAAATAGAATAAGATAATTGCAAATTGTGCGTTGAAATGTATTTAAAACTATTTTTGTTAAAACTAAAATTGGTAATGCTATATAAGAATTGTTTGGAATTATTATTATTAATAATAAAAATGTTAAAGCTTTACAAGAATTGTTTAGAATTATTTCGAATTATTTAGAATTATTATTCTAGATTATTGAGAATTATTTCCGATTTATTTCGAATTATTTAGAATTATTTTAAATTAATTTTTGTTAACCGAATTTATGATTTAATAACATTCTGTAATAACTTATTCTCATTTATATTATTTTGTGCTAATGAAGTAGAAAGCAATTAAAGTATTAAAAAATACTATCAACATGTGAGAAAGTTGAAAATGTTTAGTAATAAAGTAAATTATTAAAAGGTGAAAGTTCAACAATATATAAGCATAATTTTATTTGTTTGAAAATTTCATTTTTTTTTTTTTCATTTTTGCAGCAGGTTAACTTATTGAATTTATTAAGCTTAATTTTACAATTTTTAACCTATTTCAAATTGATACATTTTTTTTTATATTAAGTAAATTTTATTCATTGAAGTATAAATTATCATAGAAATACTTAAAATAATAAATTAAGGTAATTTATTTATATCACACAACCACATTCCTCAACTTTGACATTTTTTAATGGAATTAATCGTTGTGTACCATTGTTGTACTGTTCAGCAACCTGAAAAAAAAAAAAGAAATTGACAGGTAGTTAGAGTATTATTGTGGCCTAGTAATTAAGTAATCCTCTGTAGCCTAGCATGAGTAAATATTATTTCTTATTAAAAAAGAAATCAATTTGTTTTGTTGATTTCAATTTAATTATTGAATTCAGTATGATTATTTAATAATACTTACATTAATAGATGCAAATTTAATTGGTACACAACAGACCCATTTATCTTTGAACGGATTAAAATGTAAATTTGAAATTTTCATCGCTTGTACCAAGGCATTACGATCATTTGTAGCCGGAATAAGTGTTTGATCACAGATTCCATCACAGAAATTCATCAGAAATCTAAATTCAGGAATCACACACAACTCAATCATGTTGAATTCATCAGGAATTTAAATTCAGGAATCATGCATAACTCACTCATGATGAATTCATCAGGAATCTAAATTCGGTCCTACATTCATCAGGAATTTAAATTCAATCCTAAAAATTTGTCGCTGAACTAAATTCGAGAATCATACAGAACTGTCATTGTTGAATTCATCAGGGATGTTGAACAATATAAGCAAAAAATTTTTGAATTAAGCAAAAAAATTTTTTTGAATGAATGAAATAACATTTGAAACAGTTAATTGCAATTTAAATAATTAATTAAAATTATCTAAAAAAATACCCATTAGGTGTTGTGATATGCTCAAAACCGCTATTTTGAAATTGAAAATAACGTGATTTAAGGCAACATTTACGACTTGAGCAATCTTCATCACTCCGGATTTCACGTTTTTGACGTTTTTGACGGAATATTTCTGCTTTTATAAATAAGATTGGACGTAACGATTTTGGACATTGATTATTACAGCGTAACTACAAAATAAACATTTTACCAATCATTTTTTTTTACTTTAAAAAAATAATTTTGAAAAAATTAATTTTACCTTTTTTTTTATTGCTTTTTTTTTAAAAATTTAATTATTTACTGCAAATTCAAATACAACCACTAGTGATCAAAAAAAAAAAAATTTTTTTTATATATTATAAAATTATTTTATATTAAAAAAAGAAAAAATAAATGAGATAGAAATTACTCGTATTATTATTTCATCTGTTTTATTCATCAACCATTTTACCATTTGTTTACTCAAATCAAATTCTGAATATTTTAACTTCACTGATTTGATATCGTCGATAAAAATTCGTAAATTTTTTTCACCACCAATATTTAGATTAATTATTGCCATAATAAAATGAAGCTTCATTTTTGATCCATGAAGAATTGATAAGAGTGATTTGAATTGAAACTGATAGCAAAATACGTTGATACCAGAGCATATCAAATTTAAAAAAAAAAGGAAAAGAAATCATTTCATCCTTGTAAATTTAATTACAAATTTTAATCATAAATAAAAATTTTCTACCAAACCAAAAAAAGATCAAAATAAATTCCAGTAATTCGATAAAATATCAAAAAGTTTTCGATCAAAATAATTTTTAAGTATTATATATATATTTCGAATATTTTTGTTGTAGTAATTTTTTCTAGCAATATTTGATTAAAAATTTTTGCATAATTTTATTCAAACATATTGATCGGTTGAAAAATTTTCTACCTTTAACACCTCTAATCATTGATCGATACCTGATAAGACCATCAATGCTATCATTCGTTTCAATTACAACATTTTGTAGCGTTGAATTCAAATTATCATTATCAGTTGATAAATGATTTAACTGATAAACGATTAAAAAAAAGTTTGCAAAAATAATTACTTTATTTGATTTTTTTTAAAAAAAAAAAAGTGAAAAAACCATTATACAAAATAATTTATAGAAGAAATTTAAAAAATACAAAAAACCAAATTTTCAACCTAAAATAGATTAATCAATTCATTCTTCTTCTATTTATATCTAATTAATATTATTTCTAAAATAAAATTAATAAAAATAAATGATAAATAATAAAGAAAAGATTGCTTTAAAAGATTACTTTTATTTGATTTAAAAAAAAAAAAAAAAGTAAAAAAACCATTGTACAAAATAATTTATAAAATAATCAAATTTTCAATTTAAAATAAATTAATCCTTTCTTCATTCTATATATTCAATTAATTAATTTCTAAAATAAAAAATAATAAAATTATTACCTTAATCGATTCAATTAAACGTTGCTTATAATTTTCAAGCAGAAAATCTTCATATTCCCATATTGTTAGCATATTTGTTGCTAATATCATCGTTGTATCATTTAAATTTATAACATTTACAACCAATGTTATTTTATAAAATAAACAAAAATAAATCAAAAACATTTTTTTTTTTTTTTTTTTTTAAATTATTTTTGCTGCCTTTTTACAATGATATTTGTTATTCATTTTTGCTTCATTTTATCTGTTAAATAATAATATCATTTGACATTTTTTATTCTTTTTAACAAATAAATTAAAATGCTACAAAAATGTATTTTTATTTTTATTTTTTGTAAATTTGCTTTTCTTTTTCTTTTTTTTTTTTAAGATTGTAAATGACTTTTCGTATTTTTCTTTGATGAAAATTATTTTAAAATTAAAATAAAGAAATGTGAAAAGAAAGAATTCCTTTTTGTTTTTTTTTTTTTAATATAAACTTTTTAAAAAGTTTTAGTATTTTATTATTTTTTTAGAAAAAAACTACAAACATTAATTTTGACATATATGTGAAATTCATAGTTATAATTTTTTTTTTTTGTGTGTGTTTTGATAATTTTAAGGTATAATAAATTATTAGAAATAATTTAAATAAGCTTAAAGCCATGATTACTGATTAGAAATGAAATTAAAAGAAAAAAAAATTGAAAAAATTTTGAAAAAGTATAATTTACGTAAAATTTTAAAAATTAATTTAAGTTTTGTTTTATTGTTTTGAGTGAAATTAATTTTAGAAAAATTTTTAATTTATAATAATTCATGCAAAAAAAGATTGCATATACTTTAAATTTTTCATAAAATTTACTAATAATTTTATTTCCATGGAATTTTTGCCTTTTAACAATTTATTTGTTATCTTATTTCATTTCTTTGTTTATTTGTTTAACAATTAATTATTTATTGTGGTAGCTATACAATTAAACAATAAATAAAAAAAAGTGATATAGAAATAAATAAAACGATCAAACAAACAATTATAATTGTGTTTACTCATTTAGAAGGTGAAGAAGCTTCGGACATTTCAACTTTTGGCACATCCAATGGATTATACGTCGTCTTTGTTGACGTAACTTCGCCTTTTTTTGCCTGAAATTTTATAATTTTATAGAATTTAATGAAATTAAATCTTTTTGTCCATTTATTTTTACTTTTTAATATTAAATAATGCTAATCATAAATCATTCTTTACCTGTATAATTAATTATTTGTTAGATAATTACAAATATTTCACATAAATTTAAACTGTAATTATCATAAATATTAGGCATAAATAGCTTTTAGATATTTAAAAATTTATTCCAATCAATAAAACTTTAAATCAATCAAAATGCTTTAAGTGTAAACTAAATTTGCTGCAAATTTATCTTGCAAAAAAAGTTTTATTAATTTCTATCACTAATATTATTATTAATTTGTCTTTAATAATTTGTCTTTTTTTTTTCGTTTTGAAAAAAAAAATTAAATTTTGAAGAAGTAAATTTATCTCAAATTGCTAACATTTTTTTCAAATATTTTTCATAATTAAATTCTATCGAATAGGATTAAATTTGCATAAGTTGAAAGATTAAATTAAATTAAAAAATTGAAGGAAATATTTTTTTTTTTTTCAATAATTAATCCTGCTAGTTTTGCTTCTTTTTTTCTCTTTTTTTTTTTCATATTTTATATTGAAGAATGGTACTAATAAATGTTTATTTTTTTTTTAAATTAAAATTTTAACTTTAAAAAAAAAAAAAGAAAAGTATATAAAATAATAACTAACTAAACAAGCATAACATATTTGATAATTTTCTTCATAACATACAGAACAATAAGATGCTGGACAATTTGAGCAATTAATTAAATTTCTCTTATAATATTTCACTTCACACATTAAACATATTCCAGTTTTGAATAGAAAATCTAACAATTTTTCCACTATTGTTTCAGCAAATAATTTGCTAAAATAAAATGTATCGCAAAAGATATTCTTTGATAATTACGTCAAAAAAATTTTTTTACGCTACGTGAAATTCTTTCAGTGTTATATTATTGAAATGTAATAAATATTATAATGATTGCAATCTTTAAAGTATTAATTTACGCTAAATACGCTAAATACTATATTAAATATTACGTGTTAACAAAAAAAATAAATAAATAAATAAAATAAAATTGTTATTTTTACTTAAAAATTAGCCAATATTTAATTATTTATTAATAATTTCTGATTTTTTAATTTTTTTTTTTTTTTTTTTTTTTAAGATAAAAAAATTGTTTGTTATGTAATACAATTATAGTTTACCTTTTTCGACGAATTTCTTCACGTTCTAAAATTCTACGTTCCACTTGAAAACGTATTCGTGCTCGTGCTAACTTTCGACCATTCGTACGTACAAATAACATTTTATTGTAAAGATGTATGACACGTGCTTTATTACGTTTACGAAAAATATTTCCAATTACACAAAAAAGTGTAATACGTTTAATCACATAACCAAATATAACCTTAAATTAGTTAAATTATAATAAATTCTCAAAAAAAAAAAAAAAAAAAAAAAGACAAAATTAAGAAATCTATGAAATCTGATAAAAAAATTATGAACTTTAAATATTTAGTAATGATTCGATCAGCAGAAACTCTCAAAATGCTTTATAATATCAGATTTTGAATTTCATTTTATTCCAATGAAATTAGATCATTTCAATTCAGATCATTTTAATTTAATTTTATTGTTTTCAAAAAAAAAAAAAAAATTAAACAAATTTTAGATTATTCATAAGAAATGTAATGTGATGATTTGACATAATTAAAAAAATTCAAAAAAAAAATTAAAAAATAATTTGGTCATATATATATAAATGTTTATAATATTTAAATTTTTAATTTTTTTAAGAATGAAAAATCTTTCATTAACTTTTGCTATAATTATTTAACAATTCATACCTGAAGAAGAAACATTATTCCGAGTGGGAAGAGAATATATTTTCCGGCATATAACCAGTTTGGTGATACCGGATTATAAATGCATTCCTCTAGTGAAACCGTCATATTTCTATAACTGTGATAATCAAATTCGATCATTTCCTTTACTAAATCAGCTATAAATCCGGTACCATCAATCTGAAAAACGAAAATACTATATATTTTCCTGATGAAATTTACGGGAATCCGGAATGATCATTGTTGATTACAAGAGAAATATTATCAAACGATTAATTCTATAATCTCATAACAAAAATTATTTTTATTGATGTTTTTTACAATTTAATTTAATCTAAATCTAAATTTTTGAACGATTTTTTAAAAGCTACTTGTTAAAGTAATTTTTAATTTAAAAAAATCACTAAATTAAAATTTTTAAATGAAAGAATACCTTAAAACTAAAAAATTGTTGACTCTCGCTTGTTACATATTTTGATGTATATTTTGAAATCTACAACAAATATTAATTTAATGAAATAAAATATTTGAATAAATCTAAAGCAGTTAGAATTGTTCGATTATTTTTATATAGCAAAATAAAATCTTGAAAATTTTTGCACAATTCTTTTTGAATAACAAAATGAATTTTATTAAATTATAATTTGAAATATGAAAAAAAACAAAAAACATAACTTACATTATAAATAACTCTGTAAAAGACAAAATCAACAAATGCAACAAACAAAGCGGTAATAAATAAAAATGTAAATTTTGCAAGTGGTAACCATGAAGCGCGTATTTCTGCTTTTGTTGGAGGACTAAAATTCATTTCAATAAAATTTAGTAAATAAAAATTTTTATTTAGTAAAACAAATTTATGCATAATGATAGCATATATTTAATTAAAATATATTAAATTCTAATTATTTGCAAAAATTTTATTTTATTTTATTTTTTCTTTTTTTTTAAAGAAACTTACGAAATTGGTGTCATCAAATTATTTGCACGCATTTCAGCATTACTTAATGGATGTAAAAATATTTTTCCCTCATTTTTACGTTTACGATCAATATGCCAAAAGTATGACGTCAAATAAACGTTATCAAAATCAATATCATTTAGATAATTATTTATCATTTTAACAGAATCACGAAATATGGTATAAATCATAACAACAAATAAGCAACCCAAAATTTGTTTCAATGTTATCAATATAATCTGTAAAATAAAGATTTTTTTTTCTTAAATTTTAATTAACAAATAGTGTTATAATTGTTTTTTTTTTTAAAAAAAAATGTTTTTTAAAAAATTTTCTAAACATAAAATCTTTTGTTTTTAATTTTTAATTAACAAATAATATTACAATTTATAATTTTGTTTTTTTAAAAATATTTTAGGCATATGATAATTTAGGCTAAACATGAATGAGCATAATTTTAGGAGTTTTAATTTTTCAATTTGTTTTAGATATGAAATTTTAATAACGCTCATTTAAACATATATTATTTTATTTACTTTTTTTTTTTAAATTTGAAATAATAAATGCTACATGAGTTGATTTTGAAAACAAAATACATGATTAAATTATTAAAAAATTAACTTTTAATAAACGAAAATTTTGAGCAATTCGATATTTCACTTCTTTGATCCCATAAATTCGAACATTTCGTGGCTCAACAATTGCTCGATAATGCATCTCAAATTGATTGATTGATTGATTTCATTTATTGATTGAAATTTTATATATTCATTATTAATAAAGTATATTAATGAGGAAAAAACAAAAATAAACAAACAAACAAACAAAACTTACATTAACGCGGAGATGATCTAAAATATCTTCCGTTAAATTATGCGCATCAGTCAAATCACTATCTAAATTTTTAGTTCGTGATAATACCTGATTAGTCATTTGATCACAAAATGTAATCGCTTCACCAACCTTCAATTTATAAATTTTAAAATTGAAAAAAAAAAAAAAAAACGAAATTTTTACTCCAATAAATTAATTTATATTTATGACAATTATATGTAATTTATAAATTTTTCCAGCAAAAAAGAAAAAAAAAAACTCTAACTAATTAATCATTTAAATGGAAAAAATTAAATTTATTCAACTTTATTTTGATTTTAAAACAAACTTTATTAACAACATAAACATGCAATTACTTATAAATTACAGAAAGAAAACAAAAAAAAACCTTTTTTGAAACTTGACAAATTTGAAGTGTATCAAATTTATCGCAAATATGTCCTTTAAATAATGGTAAAAACCAAAGAATAGAATAACATTTATTCTAAGAAATATAAAATTGTTTTCAGTATTTGTTTACAAACAAAATTTTTTTTTTAAATTATTTCATTTTCTATTGTTTACTATGCTTTAATTAATTTGTAAATTATAAATATATTGAAAAAAAAGGAAATATTAACATGAATTTTATACAAATTAAATGCTTCCTGTAGCTAATTATATTTCCTATTTATTTATTTACTTATTTATTTATTCTAAATTAAATTACTTTCACTCTCTACCAACAATTTTCTCTCCAAAATTATAAAATAAAAGTTATACTTTCATATCACGGAATGTTTCATGACATTTTTTCACACCTTTATCAAATACTTCATTGCATTGATAGTGCATACGCATTGATAATAATTTTGATAGCTAATTGAAAGAAGAATTAAAAAAAATTATTAATAAAATAATCAGAGCTGTTAGAGTATATTATGATAATTTTATGATAATAATTTTATTATCATTATGTGAACGATCAATTATTTCATTTCATTTTTACATAAATTCATTTATTGTTTAATTTAGTATCATAAATTATTTCAATTCATTATTAAATTATTGTTAAATGAATCATTAAAATCTTATAATTTTTATTCAATTTTTTTTTTGTTGTTGTTTAATTTTTTGCTGTAGTAAAAATAAATTTCACTTTTGATTTAAATTTATTCCATGCTGGTGCAGCTGATTTTTGCATTTTATTTTCTAAATCTTTTTTTGCATCTTCTGGTTCTTTATTAAGCAACATATCACGTTTGTGTAGAACCTCAAATAAAAACAAAAACAAAATTAATAATAAAAGATTTAAATTAAACACAAATATAATCAATTCTAATAAATTAAGTAAATTAATTTATTATTGAAAAAACATATGGATAAATAAATTTTTTTTTTTGGCACTTTCAAATTGTTTGATAACTTTTTCAACAATATTTAATGTTAATAATGTTGAGAATTTTTTTCCTAATTCTAATGATAATTGCTAACAATTAATGATGATTAGCAAATGATAATAATCATTAATTGATAATAATTAATTCATTATAAATAAAAAATCTAAAATTCTAATCTAAAATTTGATTTGTCAACGAATAATTTCAAAAATGATAGTAATGAATTGAGAGTGACTTATTCATTACAATTCCAAATAAATATTTGATTATTAGTGAGAAAGAGAGAGAGAGAGAGATTAACTTTGTCAAAAAAATTTTTTAAATAAATACTTAAATACTAATAGAAGAGAGAGAGAGAGAGAAAAGTTAGTGAAGAAAGAGAGAGAGGGACAGAGAGAGTTTTATGCTTTATGCTTTCTAGCATAAATATAAGTCATTGCTTATTATTTGTTGCTCATTTTGAGATTATTATTTAATAACAAATTAATTTGATAAAATCATATATTCAATTTTTGAATTCAATTTAAATGAAATTTTATTACTAAACCTCAGCAGCATCAATTGTTGTTGCTAATGCTTTGTCTTCATCGCTTAAAGTGAAATCATATTCAATTGGCTCTACCAATGATTTTAGCATTGCTATCACTTTACGTCCTTTTGATGCTGATTTACCTGAATTAAAATTCTAAAAAAAAAAAAAAAAATTAAAAGAAAAAAAAACTTTTTTAAAAAAACTGAAATTAAACATTTAAAATATATATTTCAATCTTATTTTTTGAAAATAATTACAATTATTACGAATGATAATTCTAAATAGTTTCATCTATGCTAATCAATCATTTAGAACTAAAAATGAATCATCGAAACAATTAAATTATAAGCTAATTAATGTAAATTTTTAAAAGTTGCAAAAGTTTTTTTGAAAAAACATTAAATTTTTATTTGAAATTAACAATTTTTACTTCAAACATTTAACATTATATTATCATTTAATATTATTATTGTAAAACTGACCAAATTGTTTAGCCATAAAACTTTCAATTGGTCCAGTAGCCATAACAACTCGTTGTGTCATCATATCTTCCTTTTGCTTAATGTGACAGGTTATCATATCTGTACTAACTTGAAAATTTCGAACAATATTCTCGACTGGGCCACTGCTCAAACTATTGAAAACAATAACTGTCAAAAGATTTTGACCATTTTTACCCAAAGCGCCAAAGAGAACACATATAATTGCACATCGAAATAGCTGCAAAGAAATAATTTATTGTCTTAATTCATCAAAAAAAAAAAATAATTAAAATTTTGTTTTTTAATTTATACTTATTTAATTTAATTTTATAGTTTGCTTTTTTTTTTTTTAAATTCCACTTATTTAATTTAATTATGCTAATCTAATTAATGTGTGTTAACGAAAAAACAATTTTCTTTTTTTGTTTATTGTTCAAATTTGATAAGAAATATAAAGAATAGCACCGGACTGATTGCAAATGTTATTGAACAAGCAAGAATAAGTGACCATTTTAAGATTTGTTCCGCAATTTTATCAAATTCAGCAAAATTAATTTGATACCAAGCTAGAAAATTAGAAAGTTAAAATTGAATAATTTAAAAATTTAAAAAAGCTAAATTATTAATTCTGTGATTATTGTCATAAAAAAGGACATAGTTTACTGTTTGAAGATATTTTTATTAAATAAATTAAACATAGCTTGGTATTTGAAGATATTTTTATTAAATAAATTATTTTCGAAATCAAAACAAAGTCAAAATTAATATTAAAATTTAACATAATTTTGATATATTTCAGGAAATTTAAAATGATTTTTTTAGAAAAAACATAAAAACAATAAATTTTTTTTTCTGAAATATTAACCAAATTTGTATAATAAAATAGCAATCAGAAATCCAACAGGAAAATTAATAAAAATTCTTAGCCAATGATAATCATAAACACCACTGTAAAAAAAAATATCAATAAATTTTGAACGGCCAAGTCGAATTCTTCGCTCTTCTCGATAAGGCTCAATGAATAATTTGTCAAACATTTATTTTTTTTCTTAAAAAAAAATCAGCCAAGCATCAAAATGAAGAAATGATTCAATAACAATTATTTCTTCATTCTCTTATAAAATATATTAAAATTAAATGCGACAAAAAAATTTTTTTTTTTTGAAATAAAATGACAAATTTACATTATATATAACATTCAAATAATTTTACCTCTCAATGAAATTAAATTTGCTAACAATAACAAAGGAAAAATTTCTGTAAATTAATCCATAAATGAATTTACTTTAATAAATTTAAATATTAGTAAAAGTTCATATTACAAATTATATATTTTGTAGTCATATACAAATAAATAAACATAGACACAATTAATATTATTTAATAAACACTGCAAAATCGCAAGATTAATTAATTATAAAATTAAATTTATAAAGGTGACAACAATTATAATACAGACAATGTTAACTACAAAGCTTAAAAAATTATTACTCAAATGGAAACAAATGTAAATTAATTATAAATTAATGAAAATAATAAAAAATTATGAAAAAAAAAAAAAAAAAACGGAAAGAAGGAATATAAACTATTCGTTTATCTAATAATTATTACACAAACAATAATTATTAATATTATCGAAAAAAATAAATAAATAAATAAAAGTGAAAATTAAAATTAATCTTATTCTTTATACTCTTTGAAATTTTATATTCTAGTTAAAAACTGTTTTGTTAATAAAGTAATCGATGCAGTGTAAAGATAATCCATCAGCAGAATTATAATTTTTTTCTTTGTCATTCTTTTTTCATAAACTGAATAATAACTTTGGAATTTTTCGATACTATTATGTTTACAAAATTTAATAAATCAAACGTTTAATATCGTTAATGAACCAATTTCTCTCAAATTGTATTTTCCACTTTTTTTTTTTTTATTTGCTTCTTATTATAAAACTTTTGGAGAAATATTCTAATTACAAAAAATTTTGCTAATTAGACTGTGTAATTTTTGATTTTTTTTTTCTTTCTTTCATACATTCTTACATTTAAATAATATCAAATTTGACATAAAATAGTTTAAAAAGAGTTTTGTTTCGTTTAATTTGCATTTTATACTATCTTTTTTTTTTTATTTTGCATTATTTTAGTTGCATTTCAAAACAAACAGATTGCAAATTTTTAAATTACGCAACCACATTCCATCACTTTGACATTTTCTAGTACACGATTAAATTCAGTACCATTTCTAAATTCCACAATCTAAAAACATTTGCTATCATTATGTCAAAAACTGCAAACAAAAAGCATGGCCAAATGTTTTTTATTTTTTTTTTTTTTAATGAAATAATAAATGCTTAATTTTTTTTTGAGAAATAATCAAATTAAAATTTAACAATTAGCTTATTCTTCTAACTTATAAGAAAGCTTTTATAACATATCAGCAGCAACAATGATAATATTATTCTCAAATTTAATTTATATTTTATAGAATTTTGAATTTGATTTATAAACAAAATGTTAAAATACGAAAAAATAATAAAAGTGACCTCAACAGATGACCATTTAATTGGTATGCAACAAGATAATCGTCGTCGGAATGGACTTTCTGGATGATTAATTCTGTCTTGCAAAATTAATGCATCACGATCATTAGTCTCAATTTGCATATTGCATTCGCCATCACAAAAATTCATGTTAAATCTGTTTAAAAAAAAATGAAATTTAAATTCATATATAGATATATGAGGAAATTTTAAATGAATGACAATAAATATTTTAGATGAAATGTTTACAAATGAAATATTATATTAACAAATTTTATATTTCACAATTTTTTACTTCCATAATTTTAATATTTCTTCATTTCTCATAGTATATAAATTAGATTAAATGAAATCTTTCATTACTTAAAATTAATAAAATATATTTACAAACACATACATACCCTGATGGCCTAATAATATTATCCATGCCGTGCTCATGAAAATCAAAATATACACTTTTTAAGCAACAAAATCCGCTATTACAATTTTGGTCAGTGGCCCGTTTTTTCCGAATATTCCTGCGTCCTAAAAAAAAAATATAATTGCAAATGCATTTGATAAATTGATAATATAAATCTGATAATAAATTGTCAATAAATAAATTGATAATATGAATCTGATAATAAATTGCAAATATGAAAAGCAATTTTTTAATCATCTATTGAATTGATAAATTTAATTACAGTGTAAATTGAAATAACTATTTCAAAAAGTCACTACCGTCATTTGGATTATATCTCAAAAAAAAAACTCCAGAAAAAATTTTTTAATTTGTAGAAATTTTAAAATTCTGAATAACATTTGCTACAGATCTTTGCTTACTGTAACTCTTACAGAATTGTCATAAATCGACTGTAGCTTCCACCTGAATCACTAGAAGAATTGTATTTGCTAATTAATCTGTCAAATCCAATACTACGTTTGATATTTTGATGAATTGGCATTGCAAGCATTTTCTGAAAAAAAAAAAAATTTGCAACAAATTAGTGAATAGTGCACTAATAGAAAAATAATAATTCATTTATTTTAAATAAATTATTTTGTTAAGCGAAAATAACATTGAATTTGAGAAACTTTGCTTTAAAAGTTAAATTAAGCGTTATTTTGAGGTAGGATTAAATTTCTATTTGACTTTTTCATTATGTATTATTTTCCAAGAAAATGATTTATAAGAGAAAATAGATTAGTATGATGGAAAAAATCAACAAAATGACAAAAATTGAAACATTGGAAGAAAATATGAGTGTCTTAGCTTTGTCAGAAAAATCAATCTTATCAGCTAGTAAAAGAAATTAAAAACAATACTTTATTTGCTTTAAATAATTTATTGCCAGAAGAACATGGCAATGACGATGATAATGGCAGATTTGGTGATATTGATAATGATACGAATGATTGTTCATTGATTTGATAAGTTAAACAAAAAAGGATCATTGCAATGAGCAAAGTTAATTTCACCGGAAACTGAAACATTTATTACTCATAGACAAATAATTACATTTATTTCAGACATAAATATGGCTAATCGACAATTGATAACAGGAAAAAAAAAGAAAGAACACTATCCGGCGTCAATTTATTTGAAAGTTTATTTACATTTATATACCATCATAATATCACCTTTCCAATTTTGTTCGAATGCTTTCTTGCAAAAGTAATATTTTTCTTTTAAAATAAAAAAAGATAATTTTTTTTTAAAAGAAAAAGAAAAAATTCGGCTATAAATGAACTGTAATTTTTGAAATTAAATTGAAGAAATTTTATTTTAAAAATTTAGTATATAATTTGATTTATAAAAATAGATTTTAGAATAATAAAATAATCCAATGTTAAATATCGTAAAATAGTGATAAAAACAATAAGTAATAATTGTCACTTTTATAGTTTGACAACAAATTAATTAGCTCATTTCATTTAATCGAATTTAAATCAAACAAAATTGCTATCACATATTGTAGAGTAAAACTTTTACTGTGTTAAATCAAAAAATGATACGTATACATACATACGTATATATACACATACACGCACACACACACACCTACAGTTATACTCACATGGACATACACAATACACACATCTACACATACACGCATGTATATATATATACACATTCATAGACATGCACACATACATGTACACGTAAACATACACATACACACACACATACACAGATGTATTTTCATTCGTTTCAGCTGGAAATATTTCAAAAGTTATTGCTCTTTTTAACTGTGGCGGTTTTTTTCATTTTATTTTTTGCTGAGTTATTGTTAAATTAATTAAATTTGTAATCTATTTATTTACTTATCAAACAACTTTAATACCATCATACCGTAATCAGCTTTTGATGGTAACTGTAAAATTTGATTGTTGTGATTCGATGGTTACTTCAAATTTCATCAGACGTTGTGGTTTCCTACAAAAATGTTTCGAAAACTTTCAAATGTTATTAAATTGTAAATTAATCCTTTACTTATGTTTATTAATAGCATTTAAAAATATTATTTTTTATTGAATCAAAAATAATAACATTGGTTTAAGAATTAAATTAGAGTGTAAAAACCTAGAAATTTTTTTTTACATTCGAAATAACAAAGCTTCTTTTCAATCTGTTGAAATTTCAGAAAAAAGTATTATTTGCAAGGAGGTTAGACCGTTTTAGGAAGTTCATTATGTGCTACACGGGAAATGTTACAAGCCCGGACAGGGCAATAAATCGTATATTTTCAGGAGAATTGGTTTGGTCATAATGTCAAATATTAATTGATGATAATTGCTACCTCGAAAAAATCTACTGAACTCAATGGGATGCTTCATTATTAGATTTTGTTAAGTTTTTGCTGTTGAAAAATTTCGTTTTTTCAAGCTTCAAAAAATTTGGAGTCTGTTTTAATTGGTAGGCTAAAATACTGGAACTGTAAATATATCCCATTATTTATCAAGATCTTTCGATTAAATAATGTTTCAAGAATTGTTAAAAAATGAAACAAATTTTGTACAAGGAAATCATAGATTTTCTTTGCAGTAATGGTGCAGATAACTGGACATTGGTTACTTTTTGTCAATGAGTTCTTCCTTTGACCATGCTATATTTCTATTTCTCTTCTCATTGGGTAACATTTTATTCTGTTAATTTAGTGTGTTGGGATAAACATTATGTCATTGTTACCGATTATGCAAAACATTGCTGCAAATTGTGATCTTTTGCTTCGTTGGCTCATTGACGCTCTTTTAAAGAAATTACATAGCTTAATCAGATCACAAAGAAAGAAAAAAACAAATGAAAAATCCCTCCTCCCTCTATCCCCTCCTTCCTCAAAAGAAAAAAAGAGAAAGAATTTAACTCTAAAATAAAAACATTACAAATAGATTAGCACATAAGTAGATACTACAAAGAAAGATAAAGAAGAAGTAACTAGTACAACATAATGGATCATCAACTCGTTATCAGCTATAAATAATATATATATGGTGGGTTACAGAAAGTCAAGAAGAAACCTCAACGTCGTTATATGTAGCATGTTACATTTAATCATCGCGGGGAAGTCATACTTGCACATGATGCCACATCTGCATATGATGGCCATATCTGTACGTGATAGCCATGTCTGGATGTGATGGTCATGTCCGCACGTGATGGCGATATTTGCAAATGATGACCACATCTATACTGTCGCGGATCATAATATTGCGAAACTCTAAATTATTATTGTAGGAGTTGAGGATATGAGTAAGAAATATGTTCTTGAAATGTTGCAAATAATGCTTGTAACTCGTTGTTTCCAATCTTATGTTTAATCTGTATACGGTACCACCTCCTCATTTAGTTGACCTCATTATTGTGTGTCGCTTAACAACTTTTACTTAATTGATGTCCTTTGTGGCTTGTCAACTAGTAATTAGATTTGCTTGTAAACCAGGTCAACAGCCTTTGTTAGACCGATTAATATTTCGGCAGGTTAATCTCTTATTGTAAATGATATACTTTTTTTATGCATATTACTTGCTATATAATAAGGTTACTCTTACTGAGATGGAATACTATGTGCTTTGACCAAGAACCAGGAGAGTTCAACTTCAATTTTTCTCTATCAGGTTATTGTACTATTGCTTCTGTTAATTCTTATATTCCTCTGTTATCACACATATTTCATCTACATCCAACGAATCTCCCTAAGATCAACAATCTCTCCCAAAATAATAATTAAACATTCAAATCTTCCACGACACACACATCGCGGATACACGTGAAAGCCATATTTGAATATCGCGGATAAATAACAGGAGCAACCGGGAATGAACTGTGCACCAAATTCGGAACGAGGTGGTCTCTTGGTATGAAGATTTAAAGACATTTGTTATAAGAGAAATTATCAGTCCGCTTTTTTTCACTATTGTATCTTTTGATTGGCAAAGCATTTATGAATAAAATTTTATTGCTACACAAACAAAAAAAAAAAAATTAAATGATTGTTTTTAACAGGTTTCAACAAGGTTGAATTTTGCTGTTGAAAGTAAATAAGTAAATAAATGTAATCGTATAAATAAAGAGACTGGGTAGACTTTTTACAGCATTTTATTATTCATGTTGCATCGATTTATCCATTTATTTATTTATTTATTTTTTTTTTTTCATTCTGTTTTAGATTATGCAACATTCTTCGGTGAAACCAGTACCATTAAATAATCTTTTAAAACGAACGGAAAATGCTAAAGGTGGTGGTACAAGTTTGGAGGACGGACAGAATACATTTCGATCTATTGTAATGCAAACAGGTGTTTTACATGATCAAAAAGGCACAGTTTATGTTGAATTTGGTTCAACGAAAATTATTTGCTCAGTTGATGGACCAAAAGAAATAACGAAAAGTGCAGATGTCGACCCGACGGAAGGACAAATTTATGTTTTCTTGAAGAATATTTCAGCAGAAAGCAATTCTCTCTCAGGTATTTGTATTTTTTTTTTCAGCTTTTTAAAATATTCCACAAAGTTCAGATACCGAAACAATTAAGCAAATGAATTCATAAATAATACTGTATCCTTAGTTAAGAAATTTCATTCATAGTTGTGGAAAAAATGACATTTGTCCGAGCAGTTAATTATTAAAAAAGGAATAGAAATATGAGTGTTGTCTATATTATTATGTTTTCCAAAACGTGATTTTAATATCACTGGGCGGTCATGCCAAATGTATCTGTTCTAAGCTACCAGTTTTGGTTCCGCCTCATCACCAAAGGTTACTTTCCCGTAGATTTCTATCTCTTGATACAAAGTATAAACAAACAAACTGAATCATTTTATTAATCTTTTCGAGGATGTTTCGTATCCACTGGACTAATAGCAGTAGATTATAATAAATATAATTAAAACAAAATGAAGGACAGAAGTTAAATGATGTATTTCATATGTGTTTACATCAGTAGAATAAAATAGTTTGACTGAAAAATAGTAAGTAGTCATTTATTGATCCTCTTAGTGCATTATTTTTGAATTTCAGGTTCAAATTCTTTCTCAGCTTCAAATAAAGAAAGCAATAGAATACGTAATGCCATTGAGTCAGCGTTACGATCAATTGTTTGTTTGGAATTATTTTGTAAAGCACAGATTGATGTTGAAATAACTGTTCTCAATGATGATGGTGGTGTTTTGGCAGCTTCTTTAATAGCTTCTTCATTGGCTCTAATCGATTCTGGTATTCAAGTTTATGATGTTTGTGTAGCAGCTCATATTGTTATGTTAACTGATGGACGTATCATTGTTGATCCATCAATTAGCTCATTTCCACTCTCTTCCATACCTGATTCAGAGGATTTCCCTAGAAATGCTCATCTATCAGTTACCGTTGGTATCATGCCATCATTAAATCAGTTAACATGTTGTGAATTTGTTGGCATTGCAGAACCTCACCAATTAAGGCATGCTATTGCTGTAGCCGTAGAAAATTCATTGAAA